TTAGTGCCAGAATTCACTTTTAGGTTGAAAAAAAGTAGTCTTATTTAAACTCCTTTTATTGGGCTGAGGTGCCTGGGTTTCTGCCAGGAATATTTGTCATCCTCCCTCTCTAATTTTGTGTAGCTCCTATATCTTGCCAATAGAGTGCAGGCCTTAACATTTTTATTGTTTTAAATTTTATTAATGTATATTTGCAGTACATGCATTTTTTTTTCTTTTTTTTAATTAACCTTATTGGTACGTTTCAGGTATACATTATGATCACATTCATCATTGGAAATTTGTACCTGTACATGGTATAGCTTAGTTTTTTTTTTCCCATTCCCTTTGCCTCCCTTCCACTCTTCCACCCCTCCACCCCTCCCTGTTTACAAAAGCTTTGTTTCCCTTTTTTCCTTCTTTTCTCAAATTTTTTCTTTCCATTCTTTCCTTTCCCCCAACCCCCTAATTCCCCTTTGAACCTTTGCTTCCTATTTCACATTACCTATTACACCTTTTGGTCCTCATTTACCTCTTCAGTTTCTCACACCAGAGAGACAATTCAGTATTTACACATGTGTGTCCTATTTATTTTAAGAATATGGCCTTGATATACATCTGTTTAGCTATAAATGTCTCTAGTTTATCATTCTTTATGGCTGAGTAGTACTCCATTTTATTAAAAAATTACATCTTCTTTGTCCAGTCACCAGTTGATGGGCATTTGGGTTGTTTCCAAGATTTAGATATTACAAACTGTGCTGCTATAAACATGGGTGAGCATATATCACTGTGGTATGATGCTTTTAATTCTTTTGGGAAGGTTCCCAGCAGGGGAATAGGGAATAGCTGGATCAAATGGGACTTCTAATCCTAGTTTTTTGAGGAATCTCCATATGCAGTACATGCGTTTTACAGTCATTTTGAGTTGGTACATGTACATAATACAGCTTGTTTATTCATTTTTTATCTTTTTATTTTTTGGTACTGAGGATCAAACACAGGACCTTGCACCTGCAAGGCAGGTGCCGGAACCACTGAGCTAAATCCCCAGCCCAAACTTGTTTATTTTTTAATCCCCTTCCTTTCCTATCCCTCCCTCCTACTGTAGTTCCCCTTTCCACCTTTTTATTCTTCTTATTAATCTTAGTTCATGTTTATGAAATATAATGTCCACATTCATTGAGGTTATTAGGACTTTGTATATGGCATTTCTTCACTCTATTTCCCCATTTCCTCTCCCATACCCCTCACTTTTGATCACCTGGACCCCTTCCCATCTGCAAGAGATCCATCCCCTTGTCGTGTTCTATCTTTCCTTATTTTTCTCTTAGTTTGTATTTTGCCTTACTCAGATGAGAGATACCACATGGTATTCAAGTTTGTGTGTCTGATTTATTTCACTCAATATTATATGTTTTAGGTGCATCCATTTTCCTACAGATATCTCAAATTTGATCAAGTAATATTTCATTATATATTGATACCACATTTTTTTTTTTGGATACTGGTAATCAAACTCAGGACCTTGCGGTTGTGAGGCACGCAGCGGAACCACTGAGCTAAATCTCTGGCCTGATACCACATTTTCTTTGTCTAGCCGTCTGTTGATGTGCGTGTACAGGCTGCTTCTAGGATTTAGCTATTATGAATTGTTTTGCTGTAAACATTGTAATGCATGTATTGCTTGCTGTAGTATGATATCTTAAAGTCTTTGGAAGAAAATACCTAGAAAGGGAATAGCTGGGTCATATGGAGTTTCTAATTTTAAATTCTTTGAAAAATCTCCATAATGATTTCCATAATGGTTATACTAGTTTACATTAAACCTACTGGCAGATAAAATAGGTAAAACACTTGAAGACATAGGTGTAGGAAAGTATTTTCTAAACAGAAACACAGTAACGAGAAATAACAGCAAAAATTAACGAATGGGATTACATCTGACTAAAAAACTTCTGCACAGAAAAAGAAGCATTTATTAGAGTGAAGAGACAACCTACAGAAGGGAAAAACAATTTTTGCCAGCTACTCCTCAGACAGAAGACTAATATCTAGAATATATAAAAAACTCAAAGAAATTGGATCACCTAAAACTACAGACCCAGTCAAGAAATGGGCAAGTAAAACAGACACTTAACAGAGGAAAAAGTACAAATGGCCAACACATATATTTAAAAAATGTTCAACATCTTTGAGCATTAGGGAGATACAAATTTTAAAAAATGCAGATTCCATCTTACTCTAGCAAGAATGGAAATCATCAAGAAATCAAAAAGTAACAAATGCTGGCATAACTGTGGTGAAAAAGCAACCCTCCTCCATTGTTGGTGGGAAGGCCTTAACTTTTTGTTGCCTGCCTCCCTCCACTTTACCCCCCCCCTTTTTTTTGGTACCGGGAATCGAACTCGGGACCTTGCACTTGTGCTAAATCCCCGACCCTCCCACCCCCACCCCCTTGTGGTATTTGGACTCATGGCCTTGTACATTCTAGGCAAGTGCTCTTCCTACATGCCCAGCCCTTTTTTCTTTTTCTTTTTAATTTTAATTTTGAGACAGAGTTTTGCTAAGTTGCCCAGTCTGGCCTTGTACTTTTGATCTTCCTATCTCAGCCTCCCCAATAGGTGGGATTACAGACATGTACTACCATGCCTGGTACCTTTCTCCTTTTGATACTTACATAATTGTATATTAAGCAAGTGGCTTCTAAAGTCATTATTTTTATGTTATCTGAGGAGAAACTCAGAATCTTTTGTATGTGCTACATGGTGAAAACTCTCCAAATATTAAATGGATAGAAGTGATGTGATTATAGACATGTGGAAAGTGAAGCATTCCTTTTTAAAAAATGTGTTTATATGGTTTTATACAGCTGAGTTTCTACTCCTTTACATCCATTTCTGGGATTAATATAGTATATTAGGATTAATAATTTTAATATCTTTAAAAGAAAACAAAGTTTATATGGGGATTCATTTTCATCATGTATAAGGTATGATTAAATATAGAATGAATGTTTAATTTTTTGAAAAAATAATTCCAGTAAAAGACACATTGCCATTAATCCTCCTCAAAATATTCCCCCTCATTTCAAAAACACTTATCCCATTATCCTTGTTGCTTTCTGAAGCAGTTCTTCTGGTCCTGTTTCTTATGGTCTTCAGTTGCAGTGTCATGGCTGCTTTGATGTCTTGAATTGATGCAACTTTTACCTTTTATGGTCATTTTGAATTTGAGGAAGAGCCAGTGTTTGCATGGTGCCAGATCTGGTAGATGAGGGCACACTGTAATATTTTTACAAGCCTGCCTTTCTGTTGGATGGCACTTGGCAGCAGCATTCATTATATTTTTCATCTCATTTCCTAAAGACAGTCAAGAAAGAGAAAAAGAAAAACATAAGAGAGGGAAAAAGAAAGACACTCAAGAAAGAGGACTTACAAACTGCTGTAGAAAGTGGTGAGAACAAAGAGATAGGTGTATTTAAAGCAAGGGGAGATATTTTAAGGGGAACTAATGGCAATGTGTCTTTTACTATAATACATTTCTCAAATTTAAATATTCACTGTACATTCCAATCACACCTTATAAAATATAATGAAAAAAATTCTGTTTAATCCTATTATGAATAATTTTTCCTATATTTCTTATTTCTTTAGCTTTTCCACTTAATATACCAATGTATTCTGAAAGAATCTTTTAATATTTACTTTATAGCAATAGAACTTCATATTTATGATTGACAAAGGGAAGCTGTAGGCCAGGGATTTAGCTCAGGGCACCGTGCCTTCCTCACAAGCGCAAGGTCCTGAGTTCGATCCCTGGTACCAAAAACAAAACAAAACAAAACAACAACAAAAAAGGGCTTAAGTGTAAAACAGTGCTAGGTTTAAGGAATAGGCAGTCTAAAACTTCTGAGTATAATACTGAAATCAGGTTGAAAGGTTTAGGAGAAGATAAAAGTAAAGATTTGAGATGCTCATCATCCTCAGTTATATTAAGAGAACTTTGCAAAGTTTGACTAGAATTAGAAATAGTATTTCTTTGCCAAATCTCAGTATTATCCAAGCAATAACACATTCGGTGACCATGAATTAGTAATCCTATAGGACTTACTAATGTTAGTTAGGTTGTACTGTGGATGGGCATTATGGAATGGGCTTGGCATCAGCCTTCAATGTTGTAAAACTTTTACTATAGATGGTTAAATTAAGACATAATTTGATCCATAGTAGCATTAAATCCATGAACGAAATAATTCTGTAGTTTCATACTTTCACTGAACTTTTTTCAGATTTTATTAAAATTCATTTTTACTTTTCTAATTTTTCAACTTTATATCAATAGTTTTTGTTGTTATTGCTTTTTTGGTTGGTATTGCATTCCCAACTATGAGTCACACTAGACATTGCAGATCTTCAACTTCATGAATTCCTTTCCAGTGTTTTCTTATTTTTTATTTTTCATGGTGTTTGAGATTGAATGTAGGGCCACTCCCATACTAGACAAGCCCTCTCCCACTGAGCTATACTCTTAGCCTACTGTTTTTGGTATTTTTAGTGTTTTTGATGGTATTTTTAAACTCTTATTCTGCTTATTTATGGGAACCTTAATGATATTTAATAATACTTAACTGCATTTTAGCGAATTAGGTGGTTGCAAATACACACTCTATTTTCTGTCTGTATTTTTTTTTTTTTTTTTTTTGGTACTGGGGATCGAACTCAGGACCTTGTGCTTTTGAGGCAGGCGCGCTGCCACTGAGCTAAATCCCCGGCCCACATTCTATTTTCGGATTTAAAAAATGAAAATACTAATGTTGACCAAGTAACTTTTTAAAAGAAAATACTAATCTGAGATTAATTTATCCTTGCTTGGGCCGAGGATTTAGTGGTTCCACTAAAAGTGTTTCCACTGCCTGCCTCACAAGCACAAGGTCCCGAGTTCGATCCCCGGTACCAAAAAAAAAAAATTATCCTTGCTTAAATTCAGCTTGTTTTCTGAAAAACTCATTGTGTTTAAAGATGAGGATATTGATAGTGATAAGTATGATGCAAGAAGCCTACTTTGTGAACAATAGACCTTTCTGCCCTGGCTGTATAAAGCCTTAAGACTATTATTTGGTCAGCAATTATTGGCTGAGTCTGGTGATATTTTTGATTCAGTCTTAAGCTTTTGCTGAAAATATACCTCTTCATGCTTTATTGCATATCAGAACCCCATATTCCAGACTTGTATTTGAGGTAGGTGTGCAGCTACATATTGGAATTCCAAAATTTTGCATTATTCTTTTGAAGTTGGTTTAGAAGACTTTAAAAGTATTTCTTCTTGATTGTATAGGTATCATATTAGAACATTATTTTGGTGATAATGTCTTTTGTTTTCCATTTCCCTCTTAAGGCTGTAGAAGAGATAGATTGAGGTTATTCTTTGCTCTTTCCTAAAATTTATGGTTAGCAAGGTACTTTTAACCTCAAATCAAATATGGCACTTATTTATATCCAATTAGCTTGACTTTTGGCTAAAACAATTCAGTTTGTCTTTAATGCCTTTTACAGAAATTGAAAAAAATTCTATTTTTATATACTTTATATTAAATTAAATTAAAAAATAGCTGTGCATGGTGGTATACACCTGTAATCCCACCACTTAGGAAGTGAGGCCAGCCTGGGCTACATTGTGATTTCAAGGCCAGCCTGAATTACATAATGAAACCCTGTCTCTACACTCTACCCCCTAAAAAAAACTCAGTAGAAACAACATAAGGGTTTTATGAATACTATGTATAACTTATTGTTAGATTGTAGCAGGACACATAAAATAGCTTGAGTTATGTGATTCATTTGTATTAAAAATCAAATGCTATCACCAATTTATATACCTTTTTTTGGTATTTTGGGACAGAGTCTCATTATGTAGCCCAGCCTGGCCTTTAACTCACAATCTTTTAGCCTTAGCCTCCTGAATATTTGGATTATAGACATGTATCACCATGCCTGGTAGTAGTACACTTCTGGTTTTAGCTGGTGCTCCGTGCCAATTTGACGATAAACTCTTCCTGCAGATAAAAAAGTTACCTTATTTTGGTTAAGTCCACATGCAGTAGACTTCAGTGGGTTGCCCACATTTCTTGGTAATAATAGTCTCTTGTAGTTATTTTCTGGTTTAGGCTCAGAAATATTTTTGAGGAGGAATGTAGAGGTGGCTTTTGTCAGTAGTAAACTGCTGAATCTGTAGGATCTTTCAAAATAAATTTCCTTGTTAAAGTATAATCCACCAAAGACCACCAAGAATTAGCCTACAGTCTCACAAAGTCAGACTTATTAACTCACAGTGAGGGAATAAATTTCCAAGGAACTACAGAAAGCCTCTGGATAGGAGGGATGAGGGAAATGTCTTTTATAAGGTTTGGCTTCCACTAAGTTCTGAGGTGGTTCTAAAGGAAGCCAGGATTAGTTGTGGATTAATGGCTGTTTCGGAGGCAGATTAGGAAAAATGGAGATGAACTAGGGTTGGAGTGTTGTCATGAAGCAAGGGCAGTTTAGGAATTGGATAATTAATTCTCTCTGGCAATAAATAATACCAAAACAGGTCTGGGGACATCATTGGTAAGAAAGCAATAGTGATTCACAGAGGTTGTTAATAATATTTTACAACTGCTGCATGACCTTGGGAAGAACAGTGTTTGTTGTTGACTTTGCAACTGCCTTTATTTGTGTCTGTTCTCTCAGGCCCTTTGAATTACAGGACTACCTTTTTTTTCTGTCCTAGCTGATATTCACTGTCACTCCCAGATAGGTTTTGATTCCTTTTTTTGTGTGTGTGTGCCAGAGATTGAACTCAGGACCTTGTGCTTGTAAGGCAGGTGCGGTACTGCTGAGCTAAATCTATGGCAGGTTTTGATTTAATCTTTTTAAAAAATTTGAGACAGGGTCTTACTCTGTAGTCCAGGCTGGCCTTGAGCTCACTGTGTAGCCCAGGCTAGCCTCAAACTTGGGATCCTCCTACCTCAGCCTCCCGAGTGCTGGGATTACAGGTATGTACTACCATGCCCTGCAACTCAACGTATACGCTTATAAATCTTTTAAAACCATGTGATCAGCCTATAAGAATTTTGTTATTAATTTTATTTAGGAACTCTATGGATACTCTTTTTGTGTTGAGTTAAAAATTTTTTTTTTCTCCAGAAACATTTTCTGATGCCAGTTAAAAGTTCCGTGCTTATATGAAAGTTTTAATATAAACAGATTTTTTTCTACTGTAAGTAAAGAATGAATGAACTGGTGGTCTAACAACTTTTAGGTATCCATCGCAGAGTAATCTTTGAATTTTTTTTTTTTTTTTTTTGCTACTGGGGATTGAACTAGGGACCTTGTGTTTTCGAGGCAGGTGGCGGAACCACTGAGCTAAATCCCCAGCCCTAGATTTTTTTATAAATTTTAAATTTTGTTGTATTAATGCATGTTTGTATTATGTAAAGTTTATATTCATCTTTGGGAGTAGGTACATGGATATGATGCAGTTTATTTCTTTTTTTTAATTCTCTTTCCCCTTTCCAGCCATTTTCCTCCCTGTATTTCTAGAACTCTTTCCCCCATTTCGTTGGTATTACTAGTTTTAGCTCATGTTTTTGACATAATGTTTTATTTATTTATTTATTTATTTATTTTCTACCAGGGATCGAACTCAGGACTTTGCACTTGCGAGGCAGGTGCAGTGCCACTGAGCTAAATCCCCGGCCCTATGACATAATGTTTATATAAGTTGTGAGTATTGGTAACTGTACATGGTATATCTTATTTTTTTTCATGGTATAGCTTTTTTTTTTTTCTGGTACTGGAGATCGAACTCAGGACCTTACGCTTACCAGGCAGGCTCGGTGCTGCTGAGCTACATCCCCAGCCCCTTCATGGTATATCTTAAATCTTCTTACTTTCCTGTCCCTTCCCCGTCTCCCCTTGCCCTCCGTCTCCTGAACCCCTTCCCATTTGCAAGAGATCAATCTCTTTGTTTTCTTCTGTCCATCTTTATTTTGCTTTTTGTCCTTTGCCTTACTCAAATGAGGGATAGTATACAGTATTTAAACTTGTTTAATTTATTTTACTCAACATTATATTTTCTGTTTTTTTCTAAATTAATTTTATTGGTACATTTTAGGTATACAATATAATGACATTCATCGTTGGAAATTTGTACCTTTACATAATATGTCTTGATTCTTATTTATCCCCATTCCCCTTCCCTCCCTTCAACCCCTCCACCCCTCTCTGTTTACAAAGACTTTGTTTACATTTTTTCTTTTTCAACATATTTTCCATGTATATCAGTTTTCCTACAAATGACTTGAATTTATCCTTCTTTATAGCTGAGTAGTATTTTGTTATGTATAGTTAACCACATTTTCTTTATCCATTCATCTATTGATGGGCGTGCAGGCTGCTTTCAGGATTTGGCTACTATGAATTGTGGTGCTATTGGTATGTTTATATTGCTGTAATATGATGTCTCTAGGTCTTTTGGAAAGATACCTAGAAGGAGGATAGCTGAGTCATATGGAATTTCTAATTTTAGTTCTTTGAGCAATTTCCATAATGATTTCCATAGTGGTTGTACTAATTTACATTCCTACCAACAATGTGTAGGAGGGTTCCTTTTTCACCGCAGCCTCTCCAGCATTTGTTATTCTATGATTTCTTAATGATTACCATCTTTTGTGGTATAAGATGAAATCTTAGTTAGCATTGTTTTAATTTGCATTTCTCTAATGACCAGAGATGTTGAATACTTTTTCATGTTTGTTAGCCATTTGTACTTCTTCTGAGAAGGGTCTGTTCATTTCACTTGTCCATTTCTTCTTGGGTCTTTTGTTTTAGGTGATCTAATTTTTGTGAGGTTTTTTTGTATTATAGATATTAATCCTTTGAGGTGTAGATGGCAAATTTTTTTCCCATTCTGTAGGTTGTCTTTTTACTATACTAATTGATTCCTTTGCTGTGTAGAAACATTTTAATTTAATATAATCCTGTTTGTTGATTCTTGCTGTTATTTCTTGTGTATTTGGAGTTCTTTTTAGAAAGTCCTTGCCCATATCTATGACTTTAAGTGTTTTACCTATTTTATCTGCCAGTAGGTTCAGTTTCTAATAGAATAGCATGGAAACCAGAATCTCTGATGACTGTTGTCTTGGTAAGTGGAAGTAAGACTAAGGAATAAGATACAGACTTTTTGCTGTTTAAAATTATTTCCTCATGTGGGAGGCTGGGGCAGGAGGATAACTGGCTATATAACTGGCTATATAACCAGTTTAAGGCCTTATTGGACTACATAGTCAGACCCTGTCTCAAACAACAATAATGGATGGTTGAACCTTTCTTTTTCTTTATTACTCTTTTTTGGTACTAGAGATTAAGCAACCTACCTGACCCTTTTTTTATTTTGAGACCAGGTTTTGAACTTGTGATCCTCTTGCCTCAGCCTTCCAGAGTGCTGGGATCATAGGCGTGCACCACCACACTTGGCTGAAGGTTATGTTTTTTATGTCATCAAATCAACAACATTGTAAAGTAGGAAAACTAATGAACTAGAATCAAGAGGCCTGGATTTATCTTAGGCATTGCCATTTATTGGCTTTGTGGTGCTGAGCAAAACCTTTAGTTTTTTTGGGCTTTAATTTCCTCATTTACAAATTGAAGAAAAATTTTGACTTCAAATCTTGGTATTAGTTTGAGCTCAAATAAGATGTTTGTGGGATTATTTTATAAGTGTTACAATTTTATGTACATATAATTAAGATATCAAGTCACAGATGGCTGGCAGTACTGCTGGGAATGATAACGAGTCATAGATTAAAAATTTAGTATTTGAGTTATCTTTTTCAAAATACTATGTAGCTCACTTGTAACTATAGTGTGGCTCTACTTTAATAATTTATGCAAACTAAATAGGAATACTCATTACAATTATAGTTCTCATTTCTGTAATTGGTTGAATAGTAGTCATAGCTGGTATTCATAACTATCTTCTTCTATAACCCAGGATGGTAAAGTAAGGTAGAGTGAATGAAACCTTTATTTCTGAAAT